AATAATAATAATAATAATAATGGTGATAAATACTTTATAATAGGTAATAATTCAGAGAAATTGTAATCTGAGTGCAGACCAAAGCTAAAAATCTTGAGTAGCGCTTTCTATTTTTGCAATTCTGCCAGTACTTGTCATCTAAGGTGTTAACAGCAATGTTTTGTAAGACCATTTGTTTTGTTTTAAATGTGATTTTTAGCTTGCTAATATCCCTTTAAAAGGCTTCTACCCCCCCAAGTGTGTGTATTGCTGTTTGCCATCTACATATGAATGCTTTCCCAAAACACCTCTAACGTATAAATGCACTTGTTTGGGAAAAAAAATTCATAATCCCATTTTTGATAACTCGGTGATGGATTATGAACTTTGGTTGTTTTTTTCTTTTTAAACTGTGTCTTACGAAACAATGGCTCACCCCGCCCCCTCCATAGAATTGTGACTTAATGGCAAATATTGCTGTGACTTTATGACAGACATTCCGATTATCAAGCTGTCCTCCAATGCGATGAGGGATGTTGCAGGAGAAGCATGAATTCTGACGGGAAGTATCATCTCTTCCCAGATAAGCAAATTTGCCAGGCCTCTCTGACATTTTTGCTGTAGCTGTTTACAAATCAAACACCAACCTGAGTTCATATTTTTCTCGTGGTGGTGTGTGCTCTGAAGCCTCCAGGTGAACGCTGAGCGGTTTAACCTTCCAGGCCAGGGCAGGAGTGTGGATGCCCATGTGGCATCGCCCTCCCGCTTCCCCTGCTTTCTGCAATGGGTGGCTGCAACCGGGGTGTGCATTAGCCAGAGTCAGGGGTAAAGAGGAAGGAAAGAGGTTCTGACTGGTGTGTGCAGTAACTTGTGTGTATCGCCTACCACTCCGTGTGTATCACACACCTGTTTCGAGTTTCATCTCTCTGCTGGGTTTGCATATGGGCACTCGGAGCTGAAAGAGGTGGTCCCATTCTTGGCACATCTCAATTTGTCTGTGGCTTGAGTGGTTCTTCTTCCCCTTCCTCACCTCCCTACAGCATCGTGCTTCTCTCACTGCAGGGCAATCAGAACAATCCCAGAGAGATGGCATTTCTCTCTTCTTTTTACTTTCTTTCATGTTGTTTTTTTTTTTTACTTTTCCTTTGTTTTACTTTTCTTTCTGTTTTCCTTTGCTGACACATGGTTGGTTAATATGATGAAGCCTGTTATGACACTGTTGTTCTTGCTGCTGCCGCTGCTGCTGTTGTTGATTATGCTGTGTTCCCAGCTAACTGCATGTCTTTTTTTTGTTTTTTGTTTGTTTGTTTTTGTTTCTTTGCAAAATCCCTCCCCCCCACTACCCCTTCACCTCCATCTCTTGTGTCTCCTTGTGACATGGTGCATCTTTGTGACTCGGATGGATTTTATTCTGGCTTTCCTTTCTCTGCTCGCCCGCTCTATGCGTATTTCACTGTTTTTGATGTGCATGGACACTCTGCGTCTGTCTTGTAGCCTATCAGAAAGTTCTTCATCCCCCCTCAGACCTCAGACCTCCCTTTCTCTGCCCGACCCCAAGTCTCCCTGGACCCTGATGCTTGTAGGAACGCCTCCAGGCCTGGACATGTACTCCAACCAAAGCCAGCACTTCAGCCCAACCCAAAGACGCAGACTTTGCCATCCAAGAGCAAATTGGCCGAAAAACCACTCCAGTCTACTAAATCCAACCCACTCCCTACCAGCAATACCAGCGCCCCCTCTTCCCAGAACAGCCCTGTGCAGAATGCTCAGGGCCGCTCGCCTGCTGCCGGCTTTAACCCACAGCTGGCTGTTCCTAAAGTGCAGACCAACCCTATGTCTCCTGTTAGATTGCTCCCTTCTAGTACTGACCCAAGCACCAAATCTATCCCCATCATACAGGTCACCCCTCACCCCTCTCCAAGGGGAAGTCCCCTCCCTACCCCCAAGGGGACACCTGTCCATACGCCAAAGGAGAGCCCAGCAGGCACACCCAACCCAACACCACCATCCAGCCCCAGCATTGGAGGAATGCCATGGAGGACACGGCTCAACTCAATCAAGAATAGTTTCCTGGGGTCTCCTCGCTTCCATCGCCGGAAATTGCAAGGTGAGTACTCACCCAGATGAACAGGGTGGTTCTGATTTGGGCAGACATTCAGCAGCAAGTTGATACCTCTCTGTGTCTCTGCAAATTTCATATACTGAGGACTGAATATTGGTATTGAAAATGAGAGTGATAGCATCAGCCAGACCTAACCCAAGGCACACGTCAGCAGGCTCTGTCATGCCACTGCACCTGCTCCAACAGCATCTCCTGAGCCCTCTTCACACTCTAGCCATACAGCTCTTCCTATCCTTGTGGTGGCTCTTACAGCAGAAGAAAATTTTATCTTCAGGTTCTCCACTGTTTTTGTCAGAGAACCTAGAGCTCTGCCATTTCCCCTATGGCTGTACGCTGCTGCCTCTCCATAGCGACAGGCTGAGCTTTCTGCTGAAAAAAGACAGCCAGTGGCAATAGGCTGAAACTGTCCTTCTGAAACACAGCTTGTTTGATCTTGGTTAATGCTTTTTTTACCTCCTTTGGTAATTGTTGTAAAAATTCTCTTAATACAATCACTTGTTTCATACCTGCTAGCCTATTTCAGTTTTCAGAGTCTCTAGAGTGTTGAGATGTGCAAAATTTCCTTCTTCAAGCTTCAGGTGGCTTTTTGCATTCAGGCAAAGGGCACCCAACATCCCGTGCATTATCCTCAGATGTCATCAGCAGCTGTCCCAACACCCTGTGGTTTTACAGGATATTGGGATGTGATCCTCTGGGAGAGGAGGATTACAGCCATGGAGTAGTTAGATTTTGAACTATGATGGTCAGGAACATTGGCTCTGAGATGGTCAGAGAACTGTGGAGAATTGCAGCAGTGACTGAGCTGCATCCAACTGGGCTTTGAAGCAATTGTAAAGCAATTAAATTGGCACGGTCTTTGCGTCTGAACCACAAACTGTTGAAGCCAGTGCAAGATTACGTAATGATTTAAGGAAGGGTAGGGTGAGCCTTGAAATGCAGCACTTGATTAGATACAGTGATCTAGAGACATATGACCAATGTTCAAATGTCAGAACTAGTCTGCAGAGGCAGTCGGCAAATGCAAGAGGGTGTAATGCCAGAATTGTTTCATTGGTATCGAAGCAGAAAATGGAAGGTATACTGAATCATCAATTTCTTTTCTCCCTCCCTCTCTTTGGCTGTGCGTGCATGGGCAGTACCTACACCAGAGGAGATGTCTAATTTAACCCCGGAATCTTCCCCAGAGTAAGTAATTTGCCGGTACACTACTTTTTTTCCACCACAGACCAATGTCATTTCCTTGCCTGAATGTCATAGGGTGACATATGCCTGTTCTGGATCAGTATCTGACTGTAGCCTGTTATGCTCTGAGTGGGACAGAGATGTGAAATGGTTCTTCTGCTAAGGACCCTGAATAAAATTGACCTCAGTAATGGCAGCGGAGTCGGCAGGTGATGAAACAGTCTCCCAGTATCCACCTCAGTTCCTCGTGGCTTGCTGAATTTACTAGGTTTGTAACATGTTCATTCTCTCTTCTTTCATTTGATTGTCAAGCAGATCACTCTTGAGGAATGGAGAGGATCATCAATAGCTTATACTGGCACTAACTATGCACTAAAAAGTCTCCCTCAGTACAGGAGAGTTTGCATGATCAGGACAACATGCAGAAGCCTCTGCTAAAATAATTCAGAGGAATCTTTGGCTGCGATAGCAAACACGGTGTTAATTCTGGGCAGCAGCACTGGGACATGCAGAAGCTCTTTCATATTCACCAAACTCATTCCTAAAAGTCAGTGTATATTTCAGCCATTTCACTGCACAAATGTGTGTCACTGCAAGGCAGGTTTGGAGGTCCCTGCCAGAGTGTGCTGCTTCAAACACTCCCTAATATATGCAACAGATGCCAAATTATTCCTTTTTATTTTCACAGCTTGTGTTTGTGCACCCAATGCCCATAGACTTACCCTGCCAACCAAGGCAATTTGGACTTTTGTCAAGATACTTGTGTGAAATATTCATGAGTTGTACATGGAAATTTTGGGCCCAAAGTTTTGTAATTGGTGACAATGGTATTGCCTTAACAACTTTCCCCACACTTGGCAGAATGTAGAGGGATAAAGACCTCAGGAGAGGGAGAAGTTGGGAATAGTAAAGGTTAGTAAAAGAAATCCAGGAAGAAAAATGGAATAAATTGTGTTTTCAACCCTTTGGAGCATTTACTAATGAAGAAGCATGAGAGAACTTCATAAAATGATCACATCCTTATCAAAGAAATACATAATACTCTCAACTTGAACGTTTTTAAGGCTGTTAAAGCAGAAAACCTTCAGAATTTAATTTCTCCTTTCCTCTCTTCTCCTCTCCTCTCCTATTCTCTTCATGTATGTATGTTGGTGGAAGTTTTTCTGTTAATTTATTGCCTTCTCTGCTTCCCACTCACTCTCTAAAAGCTGGTATAGAGAAGTAGTGCCTGTCATTTGAGGCAGTTTGGATGCAAGTCAAAGCCTAAGGCCCTTTTTCCTTTTTCTGTATAATTGCCAAATTAATGAGTTCAGTTGGGCTGCACCCTGCAGTAAACACAATAAAAGTCATAAAAAATAATGAACTGGATTTTATTTTAACGATAGATGTCTTGTTGCTCAGTGCCCACTTCCACGTATCTTATTTTTTCTAGTATTTTCTTCCTTTCTGTAAGAAATAAGATGTCCTTACCAAGAACTGTATTGACCTCATGGGTTGAGCGATAAAAATACATGTCCTTGCTCTGGTACAGCATTCTTTAATGATTGCCATTTATTTAACAAACCTGATGATTAGGTAATACATTTTGACATGTCTGGGTAATGCTATTCTTTCTCATATGAAAAAGTCCTAGAAAATGTGTTAGGAATTATATTTAAAGAGACATAGCTCCAGCTGCTTTAAACCTGCAAAACTCCATTTGCTTGAGTAGAAATGCTGTTGTTTATGACAAGCGGGTAAAACTCTGGAGGTTACAGATCCATGCACTCTGGGACAGATAGGGAAGACAGTGAGGCTCTCCAGAAGGCAATGCAGTCAGACACTCCAAAAGTAGGAAAACGAATATAGCAGTGAGAAATTTGGTGTGAAGAAATAAAGCACCAGCCTCCATTTTCATGCTAATCTATTTGCTTTTTCATCAGCCGGACACCTGATTAGATTCCCTAGAGTAATCTACATACTCAGCTTCCCACACATATCTCCTATTTCCCTCCCCCTTAGGAGGTTTGCCATGACAAGAGAAGATTGTTAATTTTAAGTACATTTTTTACTGCTTACAGCCTGATCTTGTGAGATGCTAGAGCACCTCATTCAGGGTGCTGAGGATGCTTGATTCATACCCGTTTTAGCCCAAGTTAGTAGCAGTTGACACCTTCTAAGAGGAGGGGAACCTTTATTGTGTTGTTTTATTCCAAAGGTGCCCCTTCTTCTTCTGTGGGCCTATTCCCCGGTTGTACAAGCACAGCCAGTTCTGTTGATTTTGAGGAGAGAGCCAGTGCATGTGTGCTATGTCTTGATTCTGTTCATTCCAGAAACAGGAGAGGCCACTGGCACCTATTCCATCTCATGCGACACCGGCAAAATTATTTAGTGAATTCCAGTGATGTACAAGCTGGAGCATAGCCTAGGCTATCAGTGAATCTTCCAGAGTCAGTATTACTGGTGATAACCTTGCCAAAGAAAAGAGCCCAGCTGGACTCTGGAGACTCCAGACCAAGTTTCAAAGTTGAACCAAAGAAAACCTCCCTATGTACTGGGGCCCTTTTAACCTGTGCTATGAGAGACCTATAAGTGAAGGGCCAACAAAACTAGTAATGAAAATACAAAAATGAAAAGCCAGATTTTAACATGGCAGACCTGCAATTAAATATGCACCCTTTTTCCAGGCCCAGCTTCCATGTGTGCCATACGCTGGACCCCTGGAGTCCATATAGCCAACCCCCGTTCAGATTATGATACATCCAAGCCTAAGACAACCAGCCATTTTAGATGGATAACCAGGTGCTAATTTACTAATGAGCATAGACCCTTTACATGCAGGGAGCTATTGCCCCAGCTCTCCAGGGGCTTGCGGAGTTGTTATGGTGTGTGCAAGACACATAAGCTAATTAGTATGTAATTTCCTTTCACACTCTAACCCTGGCTCCTTAACGACCCATTTAAATGAGAGGCCCTTTCTCTTTCCTGCTCCCTATGCTAATCCCTGGCTCACCGGCTTAGTTACAGCTGCCTATGAATATTTTAGGGAGTGACGGTTTTCTAGCCCACTTTAATTGAGCGGGGTGCTTTAAGGTTTACCAAATTGCAAGTGAATCTTTCTGTACTCTTATTTTTGGTTGCCTGCAGTAAGTAGAAGCAAATGATTATTTGCACAGCTAAACTGTCTTCCAGTTGTGGTCTTTCTACTGTGTGCATTAAAGGGGCAGTGAGATGACAGCTGTGTGATTCATGGAGCACTCTGGAATGGGGAATGAGTGCGAATTGCTGGACACTGCTGAGGTCAAGCTTTGTTCTTTATCCCGAAGGTCTACACTTCAAATTAGTTTCCTAGTTGCTCCTCTCTCTCCGAGTCTCTGCCCTTCCTCATTCTGCTTCAGTCTGAATCTTTGTTGCAGAAAGTGAATCTACTAATAACTCTTTCCAGCTGTTTACTGCTTTGCTGGAAAACTTATGTATAGTAATCCTTTTTACAGATGGCTCTCCTTGTCTGGAGAGACTGGACAGTAGGTTGTCTTCTTCTGTTGAGTGGTGAATGTCCACGAAAACAAGTGAAGGCTTATTGCTTGCCATACTGCGAACTGGATTTGTCATGGCATTGTAAAGTATCCTGTGGAGGAAAAAAACTGCAGTCTCTTGGTGGCAAGTCTCTTAATTTCTGACATTTTCATGCTAAGTTCTTCCCTACTAGAATATGTCTGATTTCAGTGGAATTTTCCCTGGGTTTAGGTTGGCCTAGCAATTGTCTGGCTGTATCTCATGACTGACGGCATCTTCTCTCCCCTCAAAACCACACCTGTCAGAGGTGCTACCTTCAAGTTCTGGGTAGTGTCCCCCAATAACATTCATGTCCCTGCATTTTTCCTTCAGTTTGTTTAACTCAAAAGGGAACAAAGGGCAATGAGATGGTAAAACAATAAGCAAAATCAAACATTTGCTGAAATCAGATGAAACCACCATGTGATGGTGAAAGGAACTGCGAAGCTGGACTGCTGTCAGTGTAAAGCCTGAACTGTGTTTTGCATGGTGTTGATATCTTCTCTTTTAGTACAGAAAATGCATTCCTTTGTAGGATGGCCAAAGTTTACTCATTATATAGACACCCTGAATGGGACTGATGAATGGGACAGCTTTGTCCTGGCCCTCTGCATAAGAGTGGATATCACTCACAATTGGAGGTCCAGTGAAACCTGCAGCTTGTTTTAAAAAGCAAGATCCTGGGATGTACTGTCAGCCCAACAGGACACCTTCAGAAAAGGAACTTTACAAGTCAACACCAAAGGGGTTGATATTGGCTGGGAAGGAACTTAAAGCTCTGTGTTACCAGCATCCACATATTGTCACAAGAAATGGAGAGATCCCTGGAGACAAACCAGAAATGTGTCCGCTGGCTTATATGCACTTGATATATGCAGTATTGGTATATTGGCTCAGTCAAAAGAGTTACCATTGCTCCTGATTTTTCCTTGTTGGTCACACATGCTGCCAGAGTAACACTGTGTGGTCCATCATTTTAACGGTTTTCACTAAGTGAAATGTACTGGATGTTCTCTGATACTGTTTTCCACTTACTATTAGTAATAGTATCACATTTGGAGTGTTATCAAAACTTCCTTCTGCGTTTTTTAGTATTTTTTCTAGCTGTGGGTATGTAAGAAATAGTGCTCAATATTCTAAACCATCTCTTTCTTTTCATCACATCAGGCTTGCCAAAAAATCCTGGTTTGGTAACTTCATCAACCTGGAGAAAGAAGAACAGATTTTTGTGGTCATTAAGGACAAACCACTAAGCTCCATTAAGGCTGATATTGTCCACGCTTTCCTCTCGGTAAGTCAACACAGCTGCCTCTTGGAGTCATTGCTCACTGGTCAGCTCCAGGACTCCTTGTGCCATATGTTACTGGGTAGGGTCTCTGCTCCTTCAAATGCATCCTCTGTAGATTTAATTTACATCGCCTGTTGATTCAGGCTTCTGCTGGACTCTGTCTGAATTTCTAACTGTAGATAATACTCTCTGAGGTGAGAAAAGATTTCAGCCTTCTTGGCAGGGTCACCAGCTTGCCATTGCTTAGACTACCACTGCAGTTAGAGCGCACTGCTGGTGCGGTATCAAGATAACGATTTGCTGCTTTGTCAAACTAACCTTACAGTCACTGTCTGGGCATCAGATTGGATCTCCCTTTGCTGTGTATGCCTTCCACCACTTTAGTCAGACAAAAATCCTTTCTCACATTTGCATTTGTTACTTTAAATCTCCTCTTCAATGCTGTATGGCAGAAAGAAGGGTAATTTCCTCTGGTGACTAGAGTTGTTGCAGATGCGGTTTATTTACAATCTTGGAAGCAGAGGGAAACTCATTTTTTCCTATAGAAAGTCCTTATTCTCAGTACCTAGAAGGACCAATAAAGAAAAAGTCAGCACAGTACAGTTAATTTGAGAGGTTTTTCAATTCAAGATAGTTGACAACATACTTAGACTTTTTTTCAATAGAATAAGACAAGGAGACAATTTCTTAAATCATTTGTTGTATTTATATAGTTTTCCACAAAATACTGCACTCCTTTGTAATCTCTATGATGCTGCAATGAATTTCTTCCAGAGAAACAGCCATAATCCTTTTAACTGTACAGCATCCAAGGAGCAAATGCAGTATAGTAGCATGCATCAGACACTGGTGTCCATCTCAGATTGGTTTGAAGCAGCCATGTCACTCTATCAGTTTTATGCATTTAGCTGTGCTTGTGGGTTTATATTGTGGTGTAGTGTGCACTACTGTCTGTATTTGTGATCCTGTGCATACCCAGCATGTGTGGGTTGAGGTGTGATGTTATGATTTGTGTGCAAACCCTATGAATCATCTCTTAGCACCAACTTCAAACTTAAATGCATTGTCACAGCCTGCTAAATAAATCCTTAAGGTCAGCTTCTCAAAGAACTCATCTTCATTTTTCTTCCTAAATTAGAGGCCAGGTTTCCAAGTGATTTGGCTGGTGTTTTTTTAAATCTGGTCCTTTATAAAGCAATAAATAGAATGTGAGTATGCTAAATTTTGGCAGGAACTCTGAATGGTAACTGCTTGAAAATTAGGCAGTTATGAAATTCTACCATGGGTCTGAAGATACAGATATTGGGTGATGCAAGAAAGCTTCTCAGAGTTCTTTTATGTATTGATAGGAGTTGTGGTTTGGGTAAGTTCTTTGCAGGCATGCTTTTCCTGTGGATATCCCAGGCACTTGTCCAAGTGTTTGCTCTGTGTCCTGATGTCCATTTGATATCATAGAATCACCAAATAATTGAGGTTGGAAAGGACTTCAGGATGTTTCCTGCTCAAAACAGGATCATCTATGAGATCAGACCAGGCTACTCAGGTGTTTTTTTGGATCCAGTCTTATATGCCACTGACTTTTCTGGCACCTCCCTTAGTATCAGTTTTCACTCAGCAAAAGGCATTTCTCAAAACTGGTAGGTGAGTAGGAAAGGAAAGACTGAGTGTATGAAGTTGTGCAACGTGTAAATTTATAAGCATGCTGGGTGTTCCACCAATATTCAACCTTTAAATTTAGGTCAGTCCTGTAAGCAGCAGTGCATTCTTCTGCGGTGCCAAGCAACCTACACTCTTACTGATTTCACAAAAACACTCTGTACATTACAAATTCAAGTCCAGAAGCAAACCCAGAAAATCTTAGCGACTCTGGATATGTGTATTGTTCTAAATTGAATTTTGCAATTTTCTTCCCTTTGTGCTCTGGTTCTATTATCTCCTTCTACCAACCTGTTTCAGATTCCAAGCCTCAGTCACAGTGTCATCTCACAGACAAGTTTCCGTGCAGAATATAAGTCCACAGGAGGTCCTGCTGTCTTCCAGAAGCCAGTAAAGTTCCAGGTGGACATAACATACACAGAAGGGGGAGAAGCGCAGAAGGAGAACGGGATCTATTCTGTCACTTTCACACTCTTATCAGGTAACCATGGCAAAGCTGTAAAATGGGTGCAAGCTGGCTTTGTCCTTGCTGATATAGAGGCCTGAAAAGAGAACTCTGCCAGGGGAAAGAATATAACTGTCTTGACCTCAGGGGAAAATTCAGACAAGGGCAAGGAAGACATCAGGAACAAAAATGGTG